CAGCGACAACCACCATGCCACCACAGGAAGCACCCCAAACTCTCCCAAGCGGGGGTGGTAGGAGGCAAGGGCTTTTGTCACACCCTCTTGACATCTGTACCCAGCCCAGCAATGACCAAGCCACCGCTGGAAGCCCCCTCCCTCCCCTGTGGGAATGTGGGGGGGCTGCAAACCTCAGTGCCGCCCTTCCTCCTTCCTCCTCCTTTTATCCCATTTCCTTCTCCTTTCCCCTCTCTGCCTCCCTCCCAACGGCTCCACAACAACATCATAGAATGTAAAAAAATAATATTAATAAAATAAAAAGACTTATGGAAACAGTCACTAAAAATTCCTCTTGAATTAGGTAGAGAAAAGATTGTAAAAAAATATAGGATTCTGTATTCATGTATTTCTGCCAGTGATTTTAAATTCTGCCACCACATAAATCCAAACCAGAAATCACAGACAATTATTACGTGTGTGCTTTATGCAAAACAGATGTCAAACTAACCAGTGGACCTTTACTCAAGGAAGCCTTAGCCTTACATTAAAAGATAGAGGAATGAATGTTTGTTAATATGTTTTATCTTAAATGTTTATGGTTTGTATTATTTTTAATGATTTTCTGATTTAACCAGGTTATTTGATCAGGTACTGGATTTGGTTGCATTGGTGGAAAGAATTTCTGTCATATGTGATGTGAGGAGTTTAGGGAGCCAGTGAAGACCAAGCAGTATGTATGGATGATTATTCTTGCAGGAATCTCTAGAGTGAGGAAGATGGGGCTCTGTCCAAGGGAAGTATTAATGTAAATATATCTCAGTGTTAACATGTATGTTACAAGCTGTCTGGCTAAACTGTATTGTCATTTTGTGTTTATTCAGGAGCCTTTGAGAGAACAAGGAAAGGAAAAGAAATTAATATTTTTATTTATTTATTTATATTTATTTATTTTTTTAAAAAGATGACCAGTTAGGGGATCTTAACCCTTGATTTGGTGTTGTCAGCACCACGCTCACCCAGTGAGCAAACCGGCCATCCCTATATGGGATCCGAACCCATGGCCTTGGTGTTATCAGCACCGCACTCTCCCGAGTGAGCCGCGGGCCGGCCCAGAACTTAATATTTAATGAGTATTTTCTATGTACCAGACATTTTGCTGGGTCTCTACATGTATTATCTCATGTAATGCTAACAGCAACCCTGCTTTTCAGAGAAGGAAGCAGATTTAAATTACACATTAAATAACTTTCTCAAGATAATTTAACTAATGAGTGGGGAAAGAGAATACTTTGCTTTATTAGAGGAATCTCCATTAAAATCCCTGATGTTCTTTAACAAAATTGTAAGGCATTCATTTAATTGCTGGGTAATTAAATCTCCTTTGAATTAAATAAGACTGAATGAACTGTGATTCTCCTTTCCTAGAAGGGAGATCATCACAGTGTTGGCAAAATACACACTTCAGCCTTTTTTCTAAAATCTTGTTTATTGTTTGTTTGTTTAAAGCGATTTGGGGATCTTTACTATATCTAGAATAGACGGTTGACCAAAAAAAAAAAAAAAGGAGGCACAGTACAGCACAACTGCTACACTGCTACAGAGGGACAAAACTGAAAAGGACTTTGAACTCATAACTTAAAAAATGATATACTGTTTTAGCAAAACCCTTACGTGTATTTGGCTTTTGACTGGTTCATGAATCCTAACATTTTATTTTAAATAAAGCAGTTTTAGATAAATTAAACAAAATTATTTTCTTTATGCTTTGAGTATTGAAATGTAATGAAAACTAATACCTAAGCAAGAACCTCTCTCCTTTCCAAGTTTCTTTTCCCTCATTAAGTTTCATTTGTTTAATGTGATTTTTTAAAAAATATACAAGTAATACATCATTACTTCCTTAAAAAAGATTAGAATACTCAGAAGTGCAACTCGAAAGTGCCTTCTTGGGCCGGCCTGTGGCTCACTTGGTAGAGTGCGGTGCTGATAACACCAAGGCCACGGGTTCGGATCCTATATAGGGATGGCCGGTTAGCTCACTGGCTGAGCGTGGTGCTGACAACACCAAGCCAAGGGTTGAGATCCCCTTACCGGTCATCTTTAAAAAAAAAAAAAAAAAGTGCCTTCTTACTTATTACACTATGCAGTAGTTCCTATGTCCTATCAGTCCCTTCTTCAGAGATAATTGCTGCCAGTTCTTTGGCTTGTGTTCATTTACTTTCTCCCCCTTCCTTTAAAAAAAGTATTTTTTATACACGTCATATTTTTAGAAACAAATGTAATCATACTTTATATATTCTGCTCCTTGTTTTTCAGTTATTGTGTCCTTGAAATTTTCCCATATTAGTACTATACATATTATCAACTCCATTCTTCTTCACTAGAGTGACTATTTAGGTTTTTGTATTTTCTTGGAAAGGGGGCTTATGTGAAAGTACTTCTAGGTTAAATTTGTAGAAGTGGATCCAGAATTCTATAATTTGAATCAAAATAAAGTTATTCCCAATTGAATTTTATTTTTTGGTGTTTTCGATTTTAAAATAATGCATTTAAAAAATATGTATTATATATGCATGGTTAAAAATTCAAGACTCAAAATGAGTTAGTCTCTCTTGCTGTCTTTTAACCAAACTGTTCTGCTTTTTGTAGTGGCCACTGTTATTATTTCTTACATATCCTCTAGAAGTAATCTGTGCTTATAGAGGCATATATTATATGCATTGTAACATTTATCATTTTTTTCCTCACCAAAGGATACCGTATACACTGTTCTGCAGTAGAAAGATCTTGGGCATTGTTCCTTATCAGTGAGTGCATAGAGAGCTGCTTCATTATTCTGTTTAGCATTGCATTGTGTTGCTTTACCATAGTTAAGTTAACCAGTTCTTTTTTTTTTTTTCCTTTTTTTTTGTCTTTTTTCGTGACCGGTAACGGGATTGCAACCCTCAGTGTCGCGCCCACACCGCGCTCAACCAGTGAGCGGACTGGTCTCTATATGGGATCCGAACCCTCGGCGGGAGTGCTGCCGCACTCTCAAGCGCCGCACTCTACCAAGTGCGCCACCAGGCCAGCCCCGTTAAGTTAACCAGTTCTAAATTGATATATATTTAGGTTGTTTCCAATCTTTTGCTGCTATAATGCTGCTTATCTATGGCATCACACACCTCTGTGTGATAAATTCCAAGAAATAGAATTGCTGGCTTAAAAAGGGTATAGGCATTTAAAATTTTGATGTATGTTATCAAATTGCTGTCTGTAGAGATTGTTCTAATTTATATTTCTGCCCACAGAGTATGAGAGTGCCTCTCCAACACTGTGTTTTCATGGCTGTGATCTTTGCCAACCTAAGTAAAAATGGTGTTTTAGTTTGCATTTCTCTTAGTATCAGTGAGGTTGATCATTTTTTGATGTATTTAAAAGACATCTGTGGCTGTCCGGTTAGCTCAGTTGGTTAGATCATGGTGCTGATAACATCAAAGTCTGGGGTTTGATCCCTGTACTGGCTGGCCAGTCACCAAAAAAAAAGACATGTATTTCCATTTCTGTGATATGTCTGTTCATGTCCTTTGCCCATTTTTCTATTGGGTTGTTCATCTTTCTCTTATTGTTTTGTAGGAACTCATTAGCAATTGGGGAAATTAGCTCTTTGCACCATATTTGGCAAATACTTTTTCTCAGTTTCTTAATTATCTTTGACTTTATCATATTTTTTACCATGAAAGAAATTATTGTTTTTAACCTTTTCTAGCCCTTACCTTAGGTATGAAATTGTTGGTACCATGCTTGATAATTCAAATTGATGAATAAAATAACTAGAAAAATATGCAGAAGAGAAAAATAATTACAGTTTTGGATTTTTTTTTTTTAAAGATGACTAAACACCCTTGACGTGGTGTTGTCAGCACCACGCTCTCCCAAGTGAGCTAACTGGCCATCCCTATATAGGGATCCAAACCTGTGGCCTTGGTGTTATCAGCACCACATTCTCCCAGGTGAGCCACAGGCCGGCCCTCAGTTTTGGATATTTTGCTTTTAGAAAATTTCCTGGACTGACTAAACAATAATATCAGCAAGTATTATAATTCTTATCAGATTGAACCAGCAGTTACTAAGTACCTGCAGGGTATAAAACTGAGCTGGGTATTGTGATAACAGAGATGACTATTAGTGTATTTGAGGTTAGGAAAGATACTTGATGATGACAACAGATCAAATTAGGGAAAGAGTTGGAAGAGGTCAGATTTAGGAAAGGTGAAGCAAGTTTGGAAGTAGTTGCCTATCTGTTTTGCTCTGAAGCTTTCTGGCCACTTCTGAAGTTCAGTCTCAGGTGTCGCAGTCTCCATTCTCTATTGGAAGCAAATCCTGAGGATTTAGCTTGTTTTCTTCCTTCTTCAGTGCCTTCTTACTTACTTATTTTTAGATCTTCGTGATTTAGTGCTTGGTCATGAGATAAAATAGTCTCCTCATCCAACACCTTTCCTTGTCCCTGAAGATAGGAACATAAAGCCTTAAAGAATAATAGTTTATTGCTGATCACTGTTGTGTGCACAGATAAGGGATTAACAAAATAACAAATATGTGGAAATTAGAAAATACAGGCAAACATTATTAAGTTCTTGTAATAATGGGCTATAATTCTGGATTCCCTTGCTGAGATGATAAGAGGACAGTCTGCTGGCCTTTTTCACCTTCTGATTTTATTTTTATTTTTTCTCAAGACCTTCCTGTTTTATCTGAGCTTGTATTGGTCTCCATACTGACTCCTTCGCCATGCTGACATAATGATCTATATTTTTAATTTCTCTGTGGAGCTGGTCAAGCAGAACAGTGGGTAATCCCTTGTTCTAAAAGCTTTCCTGGACCCATCCATATCTTCTCTTCCCTTTTGTTTCGGGATAGTTGTCTTTTTTTCCCCCCCTCTGTGATTAATCATTTTCCCATTGCGTGGCTGACGTTAAAATTTACTGTTATTCACATTTTTGATATTTATATTTGAATAGTTTCTTATTTGTTTTTAGGTAAAATTTGGTAATACCACATTTAAAACAGATGTGTACCTCAAGTCACTCAACCCTCAGTGGAACTCCGAATGGTTTAAATTTGAGGTAAGTGTTTAAATGTCAGCATTTTTGACTGTATTTTTTTTTCAGGTGACTCTTTCCCCAGGAATGTAGAAGTACCTTTTATTTTAGGTAGTAGTTTCCCTACACCATGAAAATATTTCCTTTTTTGTGTAACTAGGAATATTGACAGGTTTTTTTTTTTTTTTTTGGTGGCGGGCCAGGACAGGGATTGAACCCTGGACCTTGGTGTCGTCAGCATCATTCTCGAACCAACTGAGCTAACTGGCCAGCTCATAGGAATATTGAGTTTTTAAAAAATTACATTACAGTTAAGAAAATATATATAGCATACATGTATATGATAACACAGATTAAAAAAAATAGAAGTCCTGGGCCGGCCCGGTGGCGCACTGGATAGTGCACCGCTTGGGAAGCGCGGCGGCGCTCCCGCCCGAGGGTTCGGATCCCACATACAGACCGGTTCCCGCTCACTGGCTGAGCGAGGCGCGGGAGCAACACCGAGGGTTGCGATCCCGTTGCTGGTCCCCGGTCCGGTACGGGGGCAACACTGAGGGTTGCGATCCGTTGCCGGACACGGAAAAAAAAAAAAAAAAAAAAAAAGACAAAAAAAAAAAAAATAGAAGTCCTCAAATATATTATTATTATTGTAGTAGTCTCTGGATTTTATCATATATCAAAAATCACTTAAGAACAACGTACAGATTTTTAAAAAATTTTTTAATTGTGATAAAAATATGTATCTCATAAATATTGCCATTTTTGCTTTTTTTTTTTTTCCTTTTTTTTTTTTTTTTTTGGTCTGCCGGGGTTTTTTTGAAAAAAAA